GTGCCACGTGGAGAGTAAGTCCCAAGAGGAAGGGGTGGAGGCCCAGGTCTCTGAAAATGCCCAGAGAGTTAAAACCCACTGTCCCTGGGAACCCAGACAAGGTGGGTGTTGGTGCACTAATTTTTTTTCTTTTTTGGTTGCCACATTGATGGGGTTCTCCACGTGTTTTTAGTGGATGGGTCCGGGGTGCCAGGCGTCTGTCAGCGTTCAGGACATTCCACTGCACACAGGGCTGCTTCGTGTCCTGCATGGCTTCCTAATGTCCCACTAGCTGTTTGCACAAGTGGAACATTTGTTCACTGTTAACTAAACTAAGAACCTGAGCTCTGTTGTCTGTGTAAATACGTAAATGTTCTGTGCACTGCTGTAATGTACACTGAATGTTCCAGAAGTGCTACGAACAGACAACTCAAAGACAAGACTTTTCCTTCTAGGAGTTCAGGGCTTTATGAAGGATTGGGCATCACTTCAGAAGATTCGGTCCCTAGGGCAGGCACTGTGACACAGCAGGCAAAGCCTCTGCCTGCAACGCTGGCGTCCGTGTGGACAGCAGTCTGTGTCCCAGCTGCTCTGCTTCCGATCCAGCTCCCTGCTAATGGCCTGGGAAAGCAGCTCAAGACGGCTCCCTGAACCTACACGAGAGACCAGATGAAACTGCTAGCTCCTGCCTTTGGCTCTGGCCATTGTGGCCGTTTGGAGAGTAAACCAGAAGGTGGAAAATCTCTTTCTCTCCTTCTGTGTCACTCTACCTTTCAAAGAAACTTTCTGGGGAAAAAAAAATACACATTGTGTAAAAGCTATGCAAGGATTTCAATTTTGCTGCCAAAAAGAAGCATCTTTTAGTTTCATATTTCCACGAACCTTGTGCGGCATCCTACTACAGCAACAGAACTTTATTTTCCTGAAGTGGTTTTGCAAACTCTGCTGGCTAGCCATGTCTTCCCCTCTCCTTTCCACCCTCTGAGTTTTGCAGACTTGGTGGTCAGTCGACGCCATGGCCAGTCTGTGCGTCTGGGACCTCCCTGCTGCTATGACTTCTCCTTGACACACGGTGGCGCTGGAGAGACTCGGGCCCACACATGACCCAGCTTTCACCTGACTTGCTGGCCAAAGTACAACCGCTGGGTCAGGGAGGCAGGGCCAGAGAAAGATCTGGTGTAACTGGATGAAAATCAGCCTTCAGGGCCAAGCACGACGGCTAAGCGGCTAAATCCTTACCTTGCATGCGCCAGAATCCCATACGGGAACTAGTTCGTGTCCCTGTTTCTTTATTTCCCATCCAGCTCCCTGCTTGTGGCCTGGGAAAGCAGTACCCAGAAGAAGCTCCTAGCTCCTGACTACAGGTCTGCTCAGCTCTGGCCATTGTGGCCACTTGGGGAGTGAACTAGAAGACAGAAGTGCTGAGGTCCCTGTGATGGGTGTGGAAGACAGGAAGGTGTGAAGAGCATTGCTCCATTGCAGGCAGGGCCGCAAGGAACTTCCCGCTGTTTGGCAGGGCCCGGCGGATGTCTCCACAACACCTGGATGCAGCTCCGCCTCCCCTTGCATGGACACCGGACAACCGCACTGAGAATTCTATTTAGTAATCTATTTAGGCATTGTCTGCCTCTGTGGAGTTAATGTTTACTACCAGTGTGAGCTTGGAATTGATGTTGCTGATACCCTTTTAGCAAAAGAGCCTTTTATTATTGCTGCCCCCACTGACCAATCAATGGTGTTACCCCAGGTGTAGTGGGAACCTATTCTTTCCCTCTTTGTTTGATCTTTAACTCCCTCCTGTGATGCATTTCCTTCCTTAACTGATTCAGGAAGAAGTCGTAGGATGAGGATTGCAGTAGGAATGTGGTACTCATTGATATGCACCCTCTACTGAGAACTTCCTGACCACAGGATCAGGATGGATAACAGCCTGCTTTAAGGTGAAACAAATGGCAGAATTATCCTTGGAAACACCCGCTTGAGCCAGAGTTTGGTTCTGTATAAATAAAGCGGACAGCTTTTGTGCACTGTCCATGATCATGGAACTGCGTGGTCCGTTTCGTTCCTCTGCGCCTCATCCACGCACCCGTCTCGAGTTCCGAACTCGGCTGGAGCTCGACTCCGGCAATGAAGATCTTTTCCTCTGCAAGGCAGCATCTCATGTGGGTACTACTTTGAATTCCAGCTGCTTTACTTTTGATCCAGCTCCCTACCAATGCACCTGGAAAAGCAGAGGAGGATGGCCCAAATACTTAGGCCCCTGTGTCCAGGTGAGAGTCTAGAGCGACCTCTTGCTGCCTGGCTTCAGCCTGAGCAAAACACCTAAGGTGCCATCCTAAGTCGGCACCCAGATCAGCATCTGGCATCAAACACATGTTTGTGTGGAATGACTACAGATAACTACACAGCTTCCCGGGACAGTGTTGTGGTACAGTGGGTTAACCAGCTGCCTATGGTGCTGGCATCCCACTTGAGCGTCAGTTCAAACCCCAGCTGCTCCACTTCCTATCCAGCTCTCTTTCCATGTGTCTAGGAAAGTGGTAGAAGAGGGCCTGGGCCCCTGCATCCATGCGGGAGACCCTGATGGAATTCCAGGCTCCTGGCTTTGACCTGGTCCTGCCCTGGCTATCGGAGCCTTTTAGGGAAAGTACCAGTGGATGGAAGATAGTTTCCTCCCTCTGTAACTGCCTTTCAAGTAAATAAATCTTAAAAACAAAACAAACAAAAAATAGGCTGCCATGGGGATTAACTGAAATAATACTTAACAAAGTGTGTTACTGGCAAATGAACCAACACACTCTGGCATGGGGCAGGGGCCCTCCAGCAGCGGGAAACTGAAGGCCTCAAGATGGGGTTTAAGTCATGCCCCCCCCCCCCCCCGTCCCACTCCAAGGGCAGGGCGAGAATCAGTTAAATGACAGAGAAAAGCATTTTGTCACTAGCAAAGTGGAGATGAGGGCTGGCACTGTGGTGCAACTGGATCAGCTGCCACTGGCAACACTGGCATTCCATATCAGAGGGCTGGTTCAAGTCCCAGATCTCTGCTAAAGCAATGGAAGATGTGCCCAGTGCTTGAGCCCGTTACCTCTGTGGGACACCAAGCTGGGCATTCCCAGCTCCTGACCTCGGCCTGGCCCAGGCTCGGCTCTTGTGGCTTTCAGGGAGTGAACGATTCATCTGCTGCTGCCAGCTCGGCTGTAAGCACATGCGTGACGCACAGGTGGCTCCTGCATGCTCAGGCTGACCATGGGCCTTGGGCGACGCCCTGCCAGGCTTCCCTTGACACCTGTCTACTCCCCATCTCTCTGCCTCAGCCCTCTGCTCACGGTGAGCTTCTGGCTGCTTCTGGAACACCCTTCCCAACCGCTGCCGAAGGGAGCGAACTTTGGTTCTGCTGATGGGATGCTAAGCGGGGGCTGGGTACCAGAAACTGGCCACAGTGGCCCTCCCGGGGGCAGAGGGACTGAGCCATCAGAGGCAGGTGTGGCAGGGCCTAGCACGAACCCTGATATACTTAGTAGCATGGTATTGTACTAACTGGTTAAAAAAAAATTTATATAAACATTTCAGCCTGGCTCAACAGGCTAACCCTTGCCTGCAAGTGCCAGTATCCCATATGGACACTGGTCCTAGTCCTGGCTGTTCCTCTTTCTATCCAGCTCCCTGCTTGTGGCCTGGGAAAGCAGTGGAGGATGGTTCAAGTGCTTGGGACCCTGCACCCACATGGGAGACCCAGAAGAAACTCCTGGCTCCTAACTTTGAATCAGCTTAGCTGTGGCCACTGTGGCCACTTGAAGAATGAACCAATGGGGCCCGGCGCGGTGGCACAGTGGTTAAGGTCCTCGCCTTGCACGCCCGGAATCCCATATGGACGCCAGTTCTAATCCCATCCCGGCAGCCCCTCTTCCCTTCCAGCTCCCCGCTTGTGGCCTGGGAAAGCAGTCAAGGACAGCCCAAAGCTTTGGGACCCTGCACCCGCATGGGAGACCCGGAAGAGGCTCCTGGCTTCAGATCGGCATAGCATTGACCGTTGAGCTCACTTGGGGAGTGAATCATCGGACGGAAGATCTTCCTCTCTGTCTCTGCTCTCTGTATATCTGCCTTTCCAATAAAAATAATAATCAACCTTGGAAGGATTTCCTCGTCCTTGGAGTGGTGGGAGCAGCATCTCAGAACTATCGAAACCGCATAAGCAGAACCCTCAGAAAATGCTCCACAACGGGGACCCTGGGATGACATCGGGCGGCAGTTCTCCAGCCCCCCGGTAATGTGGTGGCTGGGAGGCTCCTCTTGTACCCCTCTCGCCCCCATATATACGAAGAAAAAAATACGTCAACAAGGGTCCCACCCACTAGCCCCTGATCCTCCACTCTTCCCACCCTCATCAACTATGTAAATATCATCACAAATAAAATAAATTCTAAAAAATTTTTTTAAAAAGTCAACACTAGACTCAGCGGTGGCCTAGTGGTTAAATCCTCATCTTGCATGCACCAGGATCCCACGTGGGTGCCAGTTCGTGTCCTGGTTGCTCCACTTCCCATGCAGCTCCCTGCCTGTGGCCTGGGAAAGCAGTCGAGGACGGCCCAAAGCCTTGGGACCCTGCACCCGCGTGGGAGACCTGGAGGAAACTTCAGCCACTTGCAGCCACTCTGACAGTGGACCAGTGGGTGGGAGAACTTTCTGTAAAAAATAAATATCTTAAGGGAAAAAAAACAAAACAAAACAATGTCAAAACCGAGTTGTTCCCAGAAAGTCCTGCCTTGGCTTGTCCCTGTCTGCCCTTTGCTGTGACAATGGACGCTGAGGGAGATGGTCTCGGTTCTTTTAATCTGAGACTGTGGCCGTAGCTGTGCGGGGCTGAGCATAAACGGCAACATCGGGTTTGGGAATTTCTTTGCCAGATCATCACCGTCCAGACAACTTTCACTTCCTCTTGAACCCCGTGCTCCCAGACGGGGGTACCCAATCTGTCTGGGTGGGTGTTGGCTGGGTGTTTGGGGGACGGGCACCTGGCCCAGCTAAGGGGCGACAGGCGAGTTCTCTGGCACGACCAGCGACTGAGTGGTGCACCTGCGGAGCAGAGCTGACTGGCGCAACACCCGCTGGGCCTGCAGCAGGTGCCCCACCCGCCGCCGCTGCTGCAGCCAGTACAGCATCTCCACCTTGTCCTGTTTCATCTTGTCCAGGTAGCGCCGCCCCCGGAAGGTCACGGGCTCCCCGAAGGCGGACTCGATCTCCCGCAGGAGGGCTGTCAGGGAGGACTCCAGCAGCTGCAGCTTCCTGTGCAGGTAGCTGCGCAACTGGCTCTCCTCCAGCAAGTGACCCAAGCTCCATGGGTTCCTCAGGAAGAAGCGGTTGGGGTCGGAGGCCTGGCGCTCAAACCATTCCAGCCTCCCGAGCCAGGCTTCCCGGAGGCGAATGGGCTTCAGGGCCTGCTCCCAGGCGGTCACCAGAGCGGGCAGCTGCCTCAGCCGTGCGTTGGAGCTGTACTTGACGGCCATCTTCAGCTGGTCCTGGGCGGGCACCTCGAGCACCAGCCACAGCTGTTCCAGGCGTTTCTGCAGGCTCGGGATCTTGTGGGGTTCTGCCAGGGGCCGGGCCTTCCCGACGCCCAGTCGGTGCTCCAGCACCGTGTTCCAATTCCACAGTCCGGGCACAAAGTCGGGCTCCTCCTCTTCCACCAGCGGAGGGGGGCGCTCAATCTCTGGGGACCGGCGGACAGGTGCTGCCACCACCTCCTCCACTTGGGCCTCCTCCTCGTACAAGTGGAAGAGGACGTGGAGGAAATCCGTCTCACGGCTGGACAGGTACTTGAAGTAGTCGTCCACCGACAAGGCGTTTTTCCACCAGTCGGCCCAAGCGTCCTTCCCCCAGGGTTTATGGGCCAGGGACGATTTGAAGGTGGGTGTCTTCCGGGAGCCAGGCTCCATGCTGCCTGCTGTCCGAGAGTAAAGGCAGGCCAGCTTGGGGTTGAGGATATGGAGCCGTTTGTCTTGGCGCAGGGTGCACGAGGAGAGGAAGGCTGACCAGTCGCGGTCAGCAGCAGGCTCCACCAGGGGTCCTTGGTCCAGGCGGAAGTGGTCAGTGGAGACGCGGCTCAGCAGCTCCGTGTAGACTTCCTTGATGTCGCTGCCCACAAAGTGACTGGCGTCCATGTCTTCGATGGCTTTGGGATCCAGTTCGTCAGCCAGGTGGTTGTAGAGCACCCCAGCCTCCTCCACCTGGAGAGTGTCCAACACGTTTCGGTCCGAGAGCCGCACAGTGGCCACCTGCACCGTCACCTGATTTCTCATCTTCAAAGTGACCGTCACTGGCTGCGGTGCCAGAGGGCAGGACCTGGGGGCCTGGCGGTCCCATTGCCAGGAGGCCCCCTCCTCCTCCTCCTCCATGCCCTTTTGCAGTTTCCTCTGCAGCTCCTCCAGCCGGCGGCCTGCAGCTGGGCGCCGGGTCACCACCCTCAGCAGAAGGGGCAGGCCCAGGTCCACCTTGCGGTAACGCGTCCGCTCCAATCTCATGTTCTTCATCATCTGCTTCAGATCCTCAGCCACCACGTCTCCTGCCTGCTCTGCCCGGCGGTCCGCTGTGAAAACCAGCGGCGTCAGAGGTCGAGCCGGGGGCGGTGGCAGGCCCAGCTCATCCGCCAGCGTCCAGCCCTTCCTCAAGCAGGGCATGGACTGGCCCCGGGCGAGCTGCAGACTGGGAGGAGAGGCCAGGACAGCGGAGGTCCTGTCGGTGGGGGTCATGGACGGCCTGGGCTCCGGCTCCTGCTGTGAGAGGCTGGGCTCACCCTCCCTCTTCTTCGTGACGGTGGACAGCCAGCGGAGAGGCCTCCTCTTCTTAAGTGTGGGAATGGACTCAAGTTCCTTCACTGGGTCCAGGTCTGGCTCACTCAGCAATTCCGGGGGGCGGCTGAGCCGGATGAGATAGCTGAGGGTCAGGCTGGAGCAGGGCACCTGGCCGAAGCCCGTGCTGTGAGGCCAGGGCAGGGGGCAGAACTTGAAGGCCCCTAGAGGGCAGGCTTGGCGCAGCTTGTCGGTGCCGCCGCCTTGCAGCAAGGCCTGGAAATCGGCCAGCAAGGACCGGTAGACGTTGGGACCAGTGAGGAAGAGCGTGCAGTCGTGGGCGAGGTTGGCAGCCAGGCGGGTGAGGTTGGCGGACTCGGTGAAGATGCCCGCCGGGGTGGACAGGGTCACCAGCAGGTGCAGGTAACGCAAGAAGAGCTGCTCGGTGCACAGCAGCACGTACGACTCGAGCCGCTTGCGCAGTTTCTGGTTGTTGGCGTAGCTGAGGCTGGGCTCGGCCGGAGGCTCCCGCCAGCTGCACCTGAGCTCGTTCAGGATGACCTGGATGAAGCGGTGCCGGCTCCCGGGGGGCACTCGCGCCGCCAGCCCGCTGCCGGACAGCAGCTGGGACACCTGCTTGCACAGCGACCTCACGCTCAGCTTCGCGGGCGGGATGGACTGAAGCATTGACTCCTCCTGCCGCTGAGGCTTTTCCGGTTTGGGGAGTTCCGGGGGCGTCTTCTTGCGCGGGGGAAAGAGCGACAGAGGACCCAGCAACTGGTGGTAAAAGCGCTGCAGCTCCTGCTCGGGCTTCTGCGGCTCCATCTTGCAGCTTGGCGGTTCCCGCTCGCCAGGCGCCGGGACGCCCAATGGTTGCTAAGGCAACCGCCGGCGGCAGTGAGCCTGCGCAGTCCGTGCGGCCAGCAAGCCGGGGGCGGGGCCTTGCGTGCCTACGCCATGGGAGGCGGGGAGAAGGGCGGGGTTTCCGAGGCCCCGCCCCCTTCGTGACGCCGGGCTCCTGGGTGCAAGTTGTTGGGCTCCGCGGGCAGGTGCTCGGGTCCAGGATGGCTTCGGACTCGGGGGACCGCGGGACCGTCTGCACGGTGAGGGTCGCGGCTTCGTGGGCAGGCCTCGCCCGGTCCTGGGCTGATCGTTATCTCGGCAAGCGGGGAAGGAGCGGACTTCTGGGGCAGGGCCTAGGACCGCAGGCGGGGGTGAGGGGTGAAGGAGAGGTGGGTGGCGGCTCCTTCTCCTCCCCCGGAGAGGAGTGGGTGGCGGGTGAGGCAGCGGTCCCGAAGGAGCGTGGGAAATGTCGGGAAAGGCTCTGGGACAGGGACCACGTGGGGGAGTGTCCCCCAGGTGTTTGTGGGTGGTCCCCTCAGCCCCCACTCATCATCACCCTTTGCAGCTGGAGTTCGCCGTGCAGATGACCTGCCAAAGCTGCGTGGACGCCGTGCGCAAGGCCCTGCAAGGGGTGGCAGGTAAGAGACGGGCTTTTCCGGTGCACCTTACCTAGGAAGCTTCTAGAAGGCAACAGGCCAATCTCTCAGGCCAGCGCTGTGGCTTTTTTTTTTTTTTTTTTTTTTAATCCTCCCAGATCCCTCACCTAACCAAGCCTGGCCTGGAGCTGGGCCAAACCTTGTTGCTGCTGAGCAGCGAGCCCACCTGTTGAGTTTAGACCAAAGAATTTGGCTTTGGCTGCCTTAGGAAAAGCGAACCAGCCTTCGTGGGAGGCCCCTAGAATCTAGGGGAAAAAACAGCCGTGCTGAGGCTAGGGCAGACCACCCCAGGAATCACAGCCACGTGCTGGACAAAGTGAGGTGAAAATCGGGGAGAATCTCGCAGTGCTGCACCACCGGGGTCTCCTCGGGCTCTCTTCCTGACATGCTGCCCTTTAGACATGACCCTGGTGGACCCTACCATGCTCCCTCCTGGAACTGGCAGCCCAGGGAGGGTGCTCAACTCTGGAATTCCAGTTGCACAATATGCTGCAGTGCAACTTGGCACAAGTGTTTTGACCTCTTTGCCTCCATTTACTCATCTGTAAACCAATGGGTTAGTACAGGAGCCGGCACCGTGGTGCAGTGGGCTCTGCCTGTGTTGTGGTTCAAATTCCAACTGCTCCACTTCCCATCTAGCTCCTTACTTCTGGCCTAGAAAAGCAACAGTGGGTGGGCCAGGGCCTTAGACCCCAGCACCCATGCAGGAGACTGGGAGGAAGCTCCTGGCTCCTGGCTTCAGAGTGGCTCAGTTGCAGTCGTTGTAGCCGTTTGACGAGTGAACCAGCAAATGGAAGATAATTTCTCTCTCTGTTTCTCCTTTTCTCTGCAACTTTGCCTTTCAAATAAATAAATCAATATTTTTAAAAAGTGAGTTAGTATAGATAAAAACGCATCCCAAGGAAATGGGGTGCTCATGGTACTGCTGATGGCCGTCTTCCTTCCCTGAGATGTGTCCCCCTACCATAAAACCCCACTCATTACCACCACGTCACTGTTCTGGGTCTGGTGTTGGAGAGTTCTGGAACCAGCACCACCATCGCTCTGAGCATAGGGAACCTGGTCCTGTAACTGTGTCTTTTTCCTCCCCTCCTCTGGATGTGTTTCTTGCCTGCAGACCTGCCTGTGGGGGAAGCGGTCATGGGATGCGCAATGCTTTGGGGTTCACCCGTGCCGTAGCATCCCTCATTGCTCTTTTTGTTTTTTCAATTTGAGAGGCAAGGGAGACAGAGAATGTTCCCGTCCACTGATCGTTCTCTCCAAATGCCAGCTGTTGCCGCTGGGTGAGCACTGGTGCTGGGAGCTGGGGCCCCAGCCCAGGCCTCATCTGTGGGTGCCAGGAATCCGATGACTTGAGTTGTCACCCGTTTCTCCCACCAGAGGTCTGTATTAGGGAGCTGAAGTTGAGAGCCTGAGCTAAGAGTTGAACTTCACTGCACTCCTACGTGGGATGTACACCTTTTTCTTAGGATTTTTTTTCTAAAGATTTATTTATATTATTTTTTAATTGGAAAGGTGGATATACAGAGAGGAAGATCTTCTGTCCGATGATTCACTCCCCAAGTGAGCACAATGGCCGATGCTATGCCGATCCGACCATGTCTCCCATGCGGGTACAGGGTCCCAAAGCTTTGGGCCATCCTCGACTGCTCTCCGGGGCCACAGGCAGGGAGCTGGAAGGGAAGCGGGGCTGCTGGGGATAGAACCAGCGCCCATTTGGGATCCCGGGCGTGCAAGGCGAGGACCTTAACCACTTGCGCCACCGCGCCGGGCCCGAGATTTTTTTTTTTTTATTAGAAAGGCAGATTTACAGGGGAAAAAAAAGGAGAGAGGAAGATCTTCTATCAGCTGGTCCACTGCAAGTGGCCACAATAGCCAGAGCTGAGCTGATCCAGAGTCAGGAGCCAGGAACTTCCTCCAGGTCTGCCGCGTGGGTGCAGGGTCCCAAGGCTTTGGACCGTCCTCGACTGCCTTTCCAGGCCACAAGCAGGGAGCTGGATGGGAAGTGGAGCTGCCGGGATTAGAACCAGTGACCATATGGGATGCTGCTTGAAGGTGGATTATTAGCTTTTTGAGCCGTGGATTGAGCATTTTCAAAGTAATATTTTAAAAAGTACTTTCTGTGTTTCAAAAATTACAAGTAATAAGGCTGACATTGTGGAGGCGCGCTAAGCTGCCCGTGACGTTGGCATCCCATGTGAGCGCCTTCTCGTGTCCCGGCTGTCCTGCTTCCCGTCCAGCTTCCTGCTTGTGGCCTGGGAAAGCAACAGAGGATGGCCCAAAACCTTGGGACCCTGCACCATGTGGCAGACCTGGATGAAGCTCCTGGCTCCTGGCTTCAGGTCAGCTCAGCTCCAGTGTTGCAGCCAATGGAAGATCTCTCTCTCACTCCTTCTGTCTCTCCCCCTCTTTCTGTAACTCTATCTTTCAAATAAATAGCTATATTTTAAAAAGTTATAGGGCCCGGCGCGGTGGCGCAAGTGGTTAAGTCCTCGCCTTGCACGCCCGGGATCCCATATGGGCGCCGGTTCTAATCCCGGCAGCCCCGCTTCCCTTCCGGCTCCCTGCCTGTGGCCTGGGAAAGCAGTTGAGGATGGCCCAAAGCTTTGGGACCCTGCACCCGCGTGGGAGACCCGGAAGAGGCTCCTGGCTTCGGATCGGCATAGTATCGGCCCGTTGCGGCTCACTTGGGGAGTGAATCATCGGATGGAAGATCTTCCTCTCTCTCTCTCCTCTCTGTATATCCGCCTTTCCAATAAAAAATAATAAAAATGAATCTTTAAAAAAAAAAAAAAGTAAAAAGTTATAAGTAGGGCCTGGTGCAATAACCTAGTGGTTAAAGTCCTCACCTTGCACATGCCGGGATCCCAAATGCGCACCGGTTCTAATCCTGACTGCCGTTCTTCCCACCTGCCTGTGGCTTGGGAAAGCACTGGAGGACAGCCCAAGCTTTGGGACCCTGCACCCTCTTGGGAGACCTGGAAAAGACTCTTGGCTTTGAATCTGCTCAACTCTGGCCATTGTGGCCAATTGAAGAGTGAACCAGAGGATGGACAATCTTTCTCTGTGTATTTCCTTCTCTCTGTGTATCTGACTTTGCAATAAAAATAAATAAATAAATAAATACCTTCTTTTAAAAAAAAGTTATAAATAATACTTTGCATATAATAAGGCCATGAGAAAATTCTGGGTGAGGTATCGTTATCTCCTACTCAGAGTGGTTAAGAGGTTTCCCCAATACTGCACAGCTATGGTGAGTTCCAGCCGGCCAAACGAGGGTGAGGAAGCATGGGGGGTGGCGTGACCTCTGCCCTCTGCTCTCCCCTCTTTACAGGTGTCCAGGATGTGGAGGTGCAGCTAGAAAACCAGATGGTCTTGGTGCAGACCTCTCTGCCCAGCCAGGAAGTGCAAGCGCTTCTGGAAGCCACAGGGCGGCAGGCAGTCCTCAAGGGCATGGGCAGCGACCAGTTGCGTGAGTGACCATCGTGACCTTGGCCTCGGCCTCTCTGAGTGGGGTGTGTGGGGGAGTGGCAGGGAGAGGGAACTGGCCGAGGAGTCCTGTGGCTGTGAGTGGGAGTGGCTTTGGGCAAGGCTTGAATGTTACAGGGTTCCAGGAGGGTTTTACTAGGTTGTCTCCTTGTTGATGTAGGGTGGGGCAGGTGGTGGGGGCTGGTGGGGGCGGCTGGCTGAAATGGCAAACCATGTTAACCATCGGATTCCTTTCAGAGAATCTGGGGGCAGCAGTGGCCATTCTGGGAGGACCGAGCACGGTGCAGGGGGTGGTGCGCTTCCTGCAGCTGACCCCTGAGCGCTGCCTCATCGAGGGAACCATTGATGGTCTGGCTCCTGGGCCGCACGGACTCCACGTTCATCAGCTCGGCGACCTTACAAACGACTGTAACAGGTGTGTCCTCTGTCCTCTCCCACGTGGCTGCCCTGCCCTGTGAGCCACATACACACGTAAGCTGACACCACAGACACGCAAGGTGAGGTGCACAGAGGCCCAGTGGCTTGCCCAAGGCCCCAAAGCCTGCACCAGGAAACAGGGATTGGAACCAAGCTCTAACCTTGAAACCTCTCCCCTTCTTTGTAACCACTGTGTATCACATCTGAGATGGACAGCGACCCCCGACCCCCGGGAAGAGAAGGGAATACTAGCCTATGTCCTCGGTATCTGTTGGGCCGTATTTATCTGTTTGTTTTTCATTTGAAAGGCACATTTACAAAGAGAAGAGGTTGAGATGATCATCTATCTACTAGTTCACTTCCCAAATGGCCACAGTGGACAGAGCTAGCCAATTTGAAGCCAGGGGCCAGAAGCTTCCTCTGGGTCTCACACAGATGCAGGGTCCCAAAGCTTTGGGTTATCCTCTAGGGCTTTCCCGGGGCACAAGCAGGGAGCTGGAAAGTAGAGCAGCTAGGCCACGAACGAGTGCCCACGTGGGATGCTGGCACTACAAGGCAGACGCTTAGCCTGCCCAGCCACTGCCTCGGCCCTGTGTTGTGGTCAGCAGTAACCATGTCTCTCTCCCCTGCACCAGAAACTTGCTGAGGGCAGGAATCCGAACCCTGGCACTAATGTGAATCCCACAAACTGTGATCAAACAAACGTAGGGAGTGGACAACCTGGGTTTCGTTTTGCTGCCCACTTGCTGCCTTTCCTTCTTAGCTGTGGGGACCACTTTAACCCGGATGGAACGTCTCACGGGGGCCCCCAGGACGCTGAGCGGGTAAGTGTCCCCTGGAGCGGGGCTTGAAGCAGGTTGCCAAGGCGGGACTGGCAGTGCTGGCAGAGGCCGGGGGGGGATGTCAGGCCTTTGAGGGTAGATCCTGCCTGGTGGGGTCTTTTTCTCTCAGTTTCTGTTGTTCTATTGACTCATTTGTTAACACTATTGGGAGAGATAGAACACAGCCCAGTTCAGTGCTCGTGTGCCTGGAAGTCATGGCTGGGGCAGGGGGCAGGGAGCGGGGGGCAGGGGCCAGGGGCCGGGGGGCAGGGGCCAGGGGCCAGGGGGCAGGGGCAGGAGGCAGGGGGCAGGGGCCGGGGGCCAGGGAGCAGGGGCCAGGGGGCAGGGGGCAGATCATTTAATTCTGGTTGCACGGTGCCTTGCGTGTGGTGCAGAAAGATGCTCCTCCCAGCAGCCTGACCGAGGCCCCAGGGGAGTCCTCAGGGAGCCTCAAGGGACAGCAGCAGCAAGGAAGAGCTGCCCAAAGAAGGTCAAGGTGTGGGGTTTGCTTCTCAGCTTATCCCTGGGCCTGAAGTCATTCTGCGCCAGGCAGATGGTTTCCCATCTCGAGGGAGGCACTCATTGCCCTAATGATGTTAGCTTTTATCTAAGTACAACTTGTGCTGCTCCCCTGTGCAATCGTTTGCTTTAAAGTGACTCCCTTTTTTCCTTTAGATAACTTGTGTTTTGTTGTTGTTTTCTTCCCTAAATCCTGGGAAATGGCCAAGTAGAGGCATTGATGTCATGAACTCTTGGGTCCCTGTTGTCCAACTTCAAGTTCATGGCCAGTCCTGTGTCCACTGCACCCCAGGGTCCTTCCCCATACTGCTGCTGCTGCTGTTTTTAATTATTAATTCCTGTGATGGTCTTGTAGGTATAGGGATTCTCCCCTTTCCCTCCCCTTTCTCCTTTGCCACTTCCCTCTCCACGTATTTCCCTCCTATATTGTAAGAGCAATCTAATTCTTTAGTAACTGTTACAAGTTTAACATTCTGCCGTTTACATGCATATCACGGCACTGTGGATGGAGACAAGGGTAGGAAATCATGTGACTGAGGCCTGTTGAGCAGTTTCACTGCGAGTCCTTTTATTTGGGGCCAATCCAGACATCATTTTCAGTTCATGTAATGAAGGTAGATGTAGGGTTTTTGGTTTTTGTTTTTGTTAAGATTTATTTATTTTTGTTGAAGTGTAGCTTTACAGAGAGTAGGAAGGACAAAGATCTTCAATCTACTGGTTCACTTCCCAAGTGGCCACAGCGGCCAGAGCTGAGCTGATCTGAAGCCAGGAGCCAGGAGCTTCTGGTTCTCCCACATGAGAGCAGGGTCCCAAGGCCTTGGACCATCCTCCACTGCCTTCCCAGGCCACAAGCAGGGAGCTGGATGGGAAGTTGGAGTAGCCGGGACACAAACTGGCGCCCTGTGGGATCCCTGTGTGTGTGAGGTGAGGACTTTGGTCACTAGGCTATCATGCTGGGCCCAGCCAATGTAGTTTTTAACCAGAAAACACCTCTGAAAAATGAGCACTTGTGACAGCAAGATAGCTTTAAAAAAAAAAAACCACGATGTATGCCTCCCACTAAAGGTTGAGATTAAAGGCACAGGAGAAAGGGTAGGGACCACTTCACCACCAAGCCCGCCCCCCTCGTCACGTGGAGATTAGCAGATGCCAGCATGGTGCAAGGTCACATTAATGCTGGCTCTGGGCTCTGTCCTCACTGTCCTCTGAGGAATGCCTGAGGGCACGCTTGCTCCCTGCACCCTGTCCCCTGCCTGTTCTCAGCTCCTTTGCCCCTCCTCCCCTCTTGGGGCTGCAGTCCCAGGGCAGATTCTGGCTGCTTCTCCTGAGAAAGTGCTGCCTCTTAGCTTGTGCGCTTCCGGGACCGAAGACTTCATCACCCCTTTCTTGCTGTCTACTGCCTTGACCTCCAGACACAAGAAACGGTGGTGGCGTGCAGCTGAGGTTTGGGTGGATCTTTCTTTTTAGAAGGTGGATTTCTTTATGGAAAGGCAGCATGACACCAGGTGGGATGAAGAGACAGTCAGAGGAGAGGGAGAAAGATCTTCCACCCACTGGGTCACTCCCCAAGTGGCTGTAACAGCCAGAGCTGGGACAAGTTGCAGTCCAGAGCCCGTACCCACGTGGGTACAGTGGGCTGTTCTCCGCTGCTTTAACGGGGGGCTTAGATTGGAACCAGAGCAGCCGGGACTCCAACCCTATGGGATGCCCATGTCCTGGTGTGCCACACCACCAGTCAGTCCCTTGGCAGGTTTTTGATATAAAAGTGTCACATGGTGATGGCCCCAAAATTTTACTCCCTGCCCCGGGAAGTTGAGGAGATGTGTGTGTGTCCAGGGTCTTGCCCAGCACCTGCCTTGGGGCTGTGTCTTCGTGTTCTGTGGCAACAGCCCAGGAATCCAAGGCTTTCAGCACTAGACTTTTGTTAGCTTGTGGTTTCTCGGGGGCAGAACTCTGGGTCTCCCTGCAGCTGTCTGAGGAGGGGACACTGGGAGGATTGTGCTCACTCGCACTGTTGGCCACAAGCCTGGAGAACTCCCCGGCTGTTGCCAGAAGTGTGGGTTCTTTGCCAATGTGGCCACTCCATGTCAGCGGGCTTCTGCTGACAGCTGAGAGGGTGTTGAAGATTGAAGCCACATGCCTATAGAAGAATCTGGGAAGGGATGCCAGGTCCAGCCCACACCCAACACAAACCTTAGAGAAGCTGTCTGCCTCGCTGAGCCCCCAGTGCAGGTGCAGGGGCCAAGAGTAGGGGTGGGAGACCCAGCAAAGGAACCTACCCTGGGCCGAGCCATCAAGATATGCAGGACAGCAAGGTGTGTTCCTGCGGCCACAGAGGCAGCCCAGGCACCTGTAGTTTGGCCTCAGACTTGATTTGGGTGAGGAAATTTAAACAGGCCAGTGGCAGCAGCTCCTGGTACATGTGGGGGGAGATTGAAGCAAGAGCGAGTGACCAGGGCCGCCACGGTATCTGGCAGCACATATTCTGGGATTTCGGCACCTGCTGCTGCTCCAGTGGAAAGGAATTCAGTGTGAGAATCCGCAGCCAGGCCCGGCTGTCGCTGGAACGTCTCCTAGCTGGCTTCTGTCCCTTCCACGCCCTCCTCTTCCTTCCTCCAGCCCTCCCTCTTCATACCTTGTAACTAGAGGGCTTGCTCTGAAACTGAGAGGAACTGGGTCCTGTCCCCTCTGGTGCCTGAGGCTCTATACAGGCTGGGGCCCAACTCCTTGGTGTGGCACTGATAGCCTCTCTGGCCCAGGTCCACCTGCCTGTGTGCCGAGGGGAGGGACTGGGAAGGCTGCCCAGCGCTACGCCCTCTCCCCTCCCAGTAAAAGAACTCCAGTCAAGGCGCTGGGCTCCCTCACCCCCTACTCCCCTTGAGCTTTCTGCCGTGAACTGACATGGGGCCACCATGACAAAGTGTGCCAGGTGCAGGTAGCAGATGTTCCTCTGGACAAGAAGATAAAGCACAGCGGGTGCTCCCTGGCGCCTGCAGCCCGTCCCACAGTGCCACACTTTGTCCCTCAATGGGAAGCTTTTGCAGAGCAGCCCATGCTGACGTAGGCATTTGCTTCTGCCCAAGGTGCCAACCTGGGGACCCTTTGTTTCCACCACCAAGGGTTTCTGTGGCTCATCACTATTGTCCCATGTCACATCAGCTGTCGTTCTCCCGCCTCCTGTCCGGCCGTCCAGTGTGCGGCTCCCCAGTGAGGTCCAGCCTCCCTCTAGAAGGCAGTGCACACAGACTTCCCCCACGCCCAGCCTGTGCCTGACACAGAGTGTCTGCTATGCTCAGCGCTCACCAGCTGTATGTGGCACGTGACGACTTCTGCAACGGGGCCCAGGTTGAGAATCACGGAAATGATGCTGACCTCCCTGTTGCTGGCAATCAGGCACTGCTGTCCCAGAAGATGGGGGCCTTCCCAGGGATCACAGAGCCAGCAGGAGCTGGGCTCGCTGGGACTGGAAATGGAGTCAGGCAGGAGCCTGGTCCAGGGAGTGGGTGTGTGTATGGCAGAGAGTGCTAGCTCTTCCAGCATCGCTGCCCTCCTGCCTCTCACATCCTAGGAGGGATTCCTTTGCCTGCCTTGATTCTGGGCCCATCTCTTAACCCTACTTGGTCACCAGTAATAGGACACCTGTTACTGGGGTCGGGGAAGGAGGAGATACAGGAAGATACTGGGAAGCCAGGAATAGCAGCTGTTTCTCTAGGGAACCCTGCTCCCAACTCCATCGGGTCTCCTTCCAGCACCGAGGAGACCTGGGCAATGTCCATGCTGACGCCGATGGCCGAGCCGTCTTCAGGATGGAGGACGAGCAGCTGAAGGTATGGTGGGAAGGGAGGTGGGGCCCTTCAAGTGGCATTCCATTGTCTCACCCTGTTGTTAACCCCAAGGTGTGGGACGTGATTGGCCGCAGCCTGGTCGTTGATGAAGGAGAAGATGACCTGGGCCGTGGTGACCATCCGTTGTCCAAAATCACGGGGAACTCTGGGGAGAGGTGAGCGGAGCCATGCCCAGTAGGAGGCTGCACTCTGCTGTGCTGGCTGCGCCTGGGGAATCCGGGAGGGCCCTAACCAGACTCTTGACCACACCTTCTTCCTCAGGTTGGCCTGTGGCATCATTGCACGTTCTGCGGGCCTTTTCCAGAACCCCAAGCAGATATGCTCCTGCGATGGCCTCACCATCTGGGAGGAGCGAGGGCGGCCTATCGCCGGCAAGGGCCGGAAGGAGCCCGTTTCGCGCCCAGCCCACCTCTGAGCCTGTTCCCTTGCTCCCCGCAGACCACCTCCCACGGAGAACTGATCATGGGGTATATAGGGGCTGCCAGGATTTCTGTTTGACAAATTAAACTTATTTTCATATGGAACTTGGTATTTGTGTGTGTGTGATCTGTGTCACGAGGTGACGTAATCTGCCCATCCAGCGCCGTCTCTTAGCTTTGCAGATCAACACGTGTTCAGAACTCTGCTTCCTGCTCTAGATGTCATGTATCTTTGTGGCCTGCCCCTGCTGTCACTGTGGCTGTCTGCACCTGTGCCTGCTCAAATGTGGTTTCTGCCTGGGGTTGGACCCATAACAGGGGACAAGGGGAACATCCGTGGGACCTTCTCTTTTTTAGTTGACAGCATCGGAGAAGGCTGAACTGCTGAGGAGGGAGGATGGGGCAGGTGCACAGAGAGAAGTCTGGGGAGGCTGGAGGCCCAGTGGCTCTCTTCCTTGGCCTTTCCTGGGGCCAGCCTCCCCCGTCCCAGGATTCAGAAGACACTCCCGTATCCTCCCAGTGCTCCAGAGAGAACTGGCTTGAGTTGCCCTTTTTCTCTCCTGAGTAAGACTTGATTAATAATTAAGTGTATGGCACAGAGTTGGCACACAGCTAGAAAGGGCAACAGCCCCTGTGAGTGCCCGGGAAGTATCCCTGGCAAAGGGGTGGCTGCTGGGTGAATCAGCTTCCCGTCATTGTTGCAAAGTAGCCCGGGCAGGCTGCCTTTGTCAAGGACACAGCTTGAGTGTGGTTCAGGGTTCTGTAGGCCGCTGTCCAGGGGCGGAGCATCCCAGGGCCAAAAGCCAGAGCATGTGCAAATGTGTGTGTGTATTTTTTCTTTGGATAAAGCTGCCAGGAATCAGTTGGGTAGAGGGGACACTCATCCAATCTAATCAGTTTCTCAAGGATCCACTTCCAAAATGCGGCCACAGACTTAGTCCCCACCCTCTGAGGGCTGTTAAGACTGGGCGGGGAGGGCGCAGCTCAACTCAGTGGTTGGAGGGTGGGAAATTCTCAAATCATGGCAGCCACTGAGGAAGGCACAGCACTCGGGGCCTTGGGGTCAGGGCTCCCCAGAACCCTTTCCATTCCTATACCCCATGTACATATCTGGCCTGCCTGGCCTGGATAAAGATGCTTTTACAACTAGTCGAGCTATCAGACTTTGTCCCGTGTTGCCTGATTGGAACGAGGTAGGTGATTTCACGGTCATTCGGCCTTGGCCTCCAGGTTCCTGGCTCAGCTCCCGTTCTGCAAAGCCAGACTCTGCCCCTGCACACAGCCCTTGGACTTGGCTCTGTCTTGCCACATCCCTCCTTCTGGCTCTTTCCCCATTCCTCCTGGCTTTTAGGGGCCCAAGCCTTCTAAACCCAGAGCCCAGGCTGTCTGTCCCCACATCCTGGTTGCTGTAGAGAATTTACACTGGTGCACACAGATGTCCCTGAACCCTTCTCTCACCGACATTCTGGGGTTACAGCTGGGTTTAACTATGTTAGAGCAACATGGGCTGCTCCCCCCACCACTGCATTGACACTTTTTTTTTTTTTTTTTTTATTGGAAAGGCGGATATACAGAGAGGAGAGACAGAGAGGAAGATCTTCCATCCGATGATTCACTCCCCAAGTAAGTGCAACGGCCAATGCTATGCTGATCCGAAGCCAGGAGCCTCTTCCGGGTCTCCCACTCGGGTGCAGGGTCCCAAAGCTTTGGGCTGTCCTCGACTGCTTTCCCGGGCCAAAGGCAGGGAGCTGGAAGGGAAGCGGGGCCGCCGGGATTAGAACCGGCGTCCATAGATCCATATGGGATCCCGGGCGTGCAAGGTGAGGACCTTAACCACTTGCGCCACCGCGCTGGGCCCTGCATTGACACTTTCAAGCTGTCAACAACCCCATCCCTTTTTTTCTCTTCTGAATACTTCGATATTTTGTTGGCATTGTTTACTTTTATACATACATGCATTTTTTTTGGAAATGCAGATTTACAGAAAGACCTTCCATCCACTGGTTCATTCACCAAGTGGCTACAACGGCTGGAGCTAAGCTGATCTGAAGCCAGGAGCCAGGAGCTTCTGGTTCTCCCACATGAGAGCAGGGTCCCAAGGCCTTGGACCATCCTCCACTGCCTTCCCAGGCCACAAGCAGGGAGCTGGATGGGAAGTAGAACACCAGGACACGAACTGGCACCTCTATGGGATTTCAGCGCTTGCAACGGGAGGAATTTAGCCATTGAGCCATCACAACTGACTGCAACCTTAACTTTTTTTTTAAAAGATTTATTTATTTTTATTGGAAAGGCAGATATACAGAGAGGAAGAGAGACAGAGAGGAAGATCTTCTATCTGTTGATTTATGCCCCAAGTGGCCACCACAGCCGGTACTGCGTCAATACAAAGCCAAGAGATAGGAACCTCCTCCAGGTCTCCCATGTGGGTGCAGGGTCCCAAAGCCTTGGACTGTCCTCGACTGTTTTCCCAGGCCACAAGCAGGATCCATGTGGGATCCCGGATAGTTTAAGGCTCAGATCTTAACCACTACGCTATCGCACCAGGCCTGCAACCTTAACTTTTAAATCACAGAAGTCTGTTCAGGTATCTTAAGGGTTCATCTGCAAAGTGGAAGTTGCCCAATCCCTGTTGCTCCAGCGAAGTTGGTCTGAAAATCTTCGCCCAGCATGGGCATTTTGTGTTATCTTTGACATTTGCCACAAACCCTCTGTCCTATAATTTACCAAATATTTTACTTTAAACTGCTTTTTTAAAAATTAGACTTAACAGGTCCTGTACGATAACCTAGTGGCAAGAGTCTTCATTTTCCATATGCTAGGATCCCAAATGGGCAACGGTTCGACCTCTGGTAGCCTGGCTTCCCATCCAGCTTCCTGCTTGGAACAACAGTCAAGGACAGCCCAAAGCCTTGGGACCCTGCACTCACGTGGGAGACCCAGAGAAGGCTTCTGGCTTCTGGCTTTGATAGGCTCAGCTCCGGCCATTGTGGTCACTTGGGGAGTGAATCAGCCGACGGAAGATCTTCTTGTCTCTTCTCCTCTCTGTATATCTGATTTTCCAATAAAAGTAAATAAATCTAATTTTTAATTGGTCTTATTTATTTGTTTGAAATACAGAGTTACAGATAAGGAAACAGAAAAATCTTCCATCCACTGGTTCGCTCCCGAAGTGGCCACAATAGGCAAAGCTGGGCCAGGCCAAAGCTAGGAGCCTGGAGCTTCTTCCAGGTCTCCTACATAGGTGTTAGGGACCTGAGTATTCAGGACAGCTGCTGCTGCTTTTGTAGGCATATTAGTGGGGAGTTTGTTGCAAATGGTGCAGCCAGGACATGAAGCAGTGCTCATATGGGGATTCCGGCATCCAAGGCAGTGGGTTAACTCATTGTGCTACAGGTAGATTAGCTTGTTATGCTCTTGTGCTGGTCATACAAGAAAGCCATTTGAAAAGTTTATTTGAGAACAGCATTGGGGTCTGGTGCAAAAAGATATCTGCATCCATTCATCGGCTCCTCAGTGTATGCTAAGAGGGACCTGCACCAAGTCAAAGAGCCAGGAATTCTGTCCAGGTCTCCCATGTAGGTGGTAGGAATCAATGCTGTCTCCCAAAGTTCACGTTAGTAGAAATCTGGAATCAGGAGTGGAGTTGGGATTCAAACCCAGGTATATGGGATGCTGTCATCCCAAGCATCTTGATTATGCCCAAGAATGCAGGCCGTTGTTAAGCTTATTAGAAAGACCCAGTGAATCAAATGTGGTTTGAAGTTGTTGACTGGGGTTAGCTGATGTCATTGACTCTAAGGAAACGTGAACTCTCTTCCCGAATTTACACATGGAATTTCTTCCTGGTATTTACTTCCCATGGTTGTAGAGAATTCCATCTACAGAAGTTTTTATCCAAAGTTAGCAAGAATGGGTTTAGCTCTATGGTTCTCCCTGGGCGTGGCGCTGAGCTAGTTCCTGAGGCTGATGTTCCTGGTGGTGAAAGCGCTGGGTGGGCATGGGGTACACAGACACGTACCGGGGAAAGGCCAGGGATATGTTCCAAATGGGCTCTGAGGGTATCATCACACCAAATGCTCACGAGATACTCTTGTGGGCAAAATCACATTTGTAATTATTATTTTTTGGCAGTATTTTTAAAAAAGATTTTATTTATTTTTATTGAAAAGTGAGATATACAGAGAGAAAGAGACAGAGGAAGATCTTTCATCCATCCGTTGATTCACTCCCCAAGTGGCTGCAATGGCCAGAGCTGAGCCAATCTAAAGCCAGCAGCTAGGAGCTTCTCCTGGGTATTCCAGGCAGGTGCAAGGTCCCAAGGCCTTGGCCTGTCCTCAACTGCTTTCCCAGGCCACAAGCAGGGAGCTGGATGAGAAGCAGGGCCTCAGGGGTTACAACTGGTGCCCATATGAGATCCCAGCAGTGCGAGGCGAGGACTTTAGTGTCTAGGCTACTGCGCCGGGTCCTCATTTGTAATTGTAATAAAACATACCCTTGTAGGCAAAATGTCTCTCCGGATACCTTAATAGGAGAGAAACACACCTAATTATGGCAGTGAAGATTGGGTCCGAGACCCCCAAGGCTACTGAAATCTGGGGATGCTTATATAATCCTTATCTGTCTGCGTGTGACCTGTGGACAGCCTCTCATCTACTTCACTTTTGTTAGTTTCTTTGAAAGACCCGCAGAGAAAGAGAGAGCTTCCATCAACTGGTTTACTCCCTGAATGCCTGTGTCAACCAGGGCTGGGCCAGGACAAAGGCAGGGACCAAGGATTCTGTCTCCCACGTGGGTGGCAAGCACACAAATGCTTGAGCTCCCTACAACTGCCACCCACTGGGGTCTGCATTAGTACAAGGCTGGAATCAGACACTACAGTTGAGAATTGAACCCAGGCAGTCAGATGTGCAATGAAGACATCCTAACTGGCATCTGTGTTCAAAGCCCACTCCTTCACCTTCTATTACAGAGGAGGCCTTTGTGTCAGTCAGGTCAGGTCAGGTGTGCCATGTAACAAAATAGTCCACACAACTGCAGGATGCCATGGGGGGAAACAAACACACACCAAAACACGTGCAGGACATTGTAATTCTAAATGAGAA